GGGGAGTCTGTGCTTTTTCTGGTGCTATTTCTGGTGCTTTTGCTTCTGCTCCTGTTTGGGAATCCTGGTGCTCGAACTTATGCAAAAAGCACAAATCTTGTGCTTTTTCGCTGGTGTTTCCTATGACATAGTTTCTCCGGTTCAGTTTGTGTTTTTTCTTGTGCTTTTCTGTGGTCTAGTTTGGGAGCGCTTCTGCTAATGTTTGGGAGTTTGTGCTTTTTCTGTTGCTACTTCTAGTGCTTCTGCTTCTGCTCCTGATTGGGAATCCTGGTGCTCGAGATGATCTTTGCGGGGACTGCACCAGCCCGCGAGGTACCGCTCGCGTAGCATAGGCAGTGGCAGTAACAGTGGAAGCGGTCATGTAAGCTGGCTGCAGTTTATTCATACGCTCCGTGGGTTCATACGAGGCTAAACGTGCAGTCAACTTTGGGTTTTTTGACACGATGTGTGTTAGAGAACCGAACTCTTTCTCTTCGGTCACATGGGAATCCACTCTGATTCGATGCCTCGGGGCACATATCCAGCCCAACCAAACGGAGCTGGTTTGTAGGTGTGGGTGCTCAGGAATCTAAGCCCTTCCATCCTTAATTAATAGCTGAGTGAAGGGCCCCCGGTCCCTAGAGTGGGTTGGCTATGAGTTTGATGGGGAGCTCCCGAGCTCCAAGCTGACTCGGCTCTGAGTTTGATGGATGGCTCCCGGGCCCCAAATTCGATCTCGTTTGCTGGTGCTACTTTCCGGCTGTGTGTTTAGTCTTAAACCTAGTTTTGAACCATTACAGGAGGGTGGCCCCATCCAACTTAAACATATCAAAAACAAAACAGAAGCGGCAAGGTCTTATCTTGATTGCATTCAACACGCCTTGCTGGCCTAACTGCCTGATGCGGACCGCTAAACAAAGCTCACCGTCCTGGCATGTTGTCTGTGGAGCAGCCATAGCACTGAGCGTCAGGGCGGGGCACTTTTCCCCCCCGCAGTAGGCAAACCTGCCAATGCAGGACTTGCCTGAACTGCGAAAACAACAAACAAACGCCTTGAATGCACAGCCTGCCTTCATCGTTGTTGGGGGTCATTCAGCCGGTATGGCCTTGTATACCATGTTTCAATACGAAGCAAATATAAGAACTACAACATCATGTAATGGAATAATGCATAACGGCATAACGCACTTACTGTGACCTTATACTGTACTTCGTAACATCATACAATTTCGCATGAAATAGCATAACCACGTATGTTCTAATATAACCATACGACAAGATTGTATTAGACAGCATCAGGCCATGCTGTGCATACTAGGTCTTATATACACGGTTTGCGTATGCTATCTGATGGTCTTATCATTTTAACTTAATCCGACTTTATTGAATTTTCTTTATCATAAACAATAACACCGATGCAAGCTTATATTTTGATTGCTACATTAATTCTTGCTTTCTCGTTAGTTCTGTCTTTAGCTCTGTCGATAGCTATTTGTTTGCTTCGTTTTTCGTTCTGTCTTCTTTCACTATTGACGGTTTACTTTGTATTTCGTTCTTTCGGTATTTCTTTCTGTATTTATCCGTTTATTTCTTTATTTGTGTCTTTCGTTTTTTGTGCACTAGCATCCTATCCAACCCACCACCATCCCCGGGCTCCCTCCGGACAGTATTAGTCTAGCTAGAGTAGCGAGTTAGCCGAGCGACGACCGAGAAGAAAACACACAAACAGCTCGCTCTCGCCGAGACTCGCTTTTTTGATGGATGTGGCATGAATCCCAGCTAACCTGGAGAATGTCGCTAGCCTCAGGCGAGCCTTTCCCAGGTTGGGCAGGGGCAATGGGGACCAAAACCCCTCTGCGAACCCCTGGCACGAAAGCTTCTGACATGTTCAGCTGTAATTGGAGATCCCGCGCCATCTCATTTGCCTTCTGCAAGACATCACTTGCAAGGGTTTCGGGGGCCAACCACCCATCACTAGTGCAGGTACGCGGCCAGAATCCATGGTCGAGGGAGTGCTACCCGACGATTCGATGACTTTATTCTCCAGCTGGGCAATCCGGGCAACCATGGCTTTAGAGTCCGCGGCAAGTTCTTCCATACGCAAACCATGTTCTGCCTGGCCGGATGACAGTGTCTCCACTGCCCGGAAGGTGCGATCATTATGGGCTTGAAGACCACGTTCAAGGGCGGCAACCCCGTCAGTAACTCTGGACACAGCACCCTGAACCTGAATCTCACCTCTCACCACGTCGCGAATGGGTGGCAGGCTCAAAGGTTCCTCTTCGGGGCCTGTTTGCGCCGGAGCGACTCCTGATACCATTGAAACCCCCCCAAAACACCCTCTTAAACTCTGACCATGATCCCCCGGCGGTCTGAGGCAGGTCGTCCGAGAGCGTGTGTGCTCGGGCCGCCACTTCGAAGGCAATCCAAACATACGAACACATAGCAACTTTGTTGTGGCGGCCCCGTGCTGTGAACTGTGCTACAGCTTACCTGCCTCCCCACCTGATCCGGAACGGAACTCTTGCTTGGGGATCTGTCCGTCCCGCGTCGGAATGCAGCCACCTGGGCACGGCAAATGTGGATCGGAGTTGCAAGGCACCAGCGGCCCGTCTTTCAAGAGTTACAGAGAAGGGGCTCAGGCCCCGGTACGGCTCGGGTTTGGATGGCTCAGCGGCCCGTCTGGATTGGGGCACGTGGGTGTGCATACCCCACGCCAAAAGGAAAACAACTGTGCAATCGGCATCAAGACCAGGCACAACACAGCAAACTACGGCCCATACCTGATATAGGAACATTCCCCGCCCAAAGCACAGGTACTCTTAGGTCGGGCCCTCGTGCATTTGAGTCCCCCCGCGAAGTAGGACCCTGTAGCAGTGGGGAGTCAGATCTTGCTTCCCCCTCGCTCCGTGCAAGGTTGTAGGGGCTCAAGGAGGTAGGCGGCAGCTCGGATTGCGTCAGACTAGGCTTGAGTTGTGACGTGAGAAGAGGAGGTGTGCTTCAGGCCCCCCAGGCGGCACAGGTCTGGGGCACCAGTCCCCCCGTCCCCCCCTTCGAGCACGCGTGGATCAGGTCGATGTCGTACAGGAAGAAGACCTTGAGCCAAGATGGTTACGGAACTCTTTTCTTACTTTCTGCCGGGCTTAGGGGTCCGCTGGGGACCCTCAGGCCTTTGCCCTGCCCGACCACCCGGACCTCTCTCTCTCCCTCTCTCTCTCTCTCTCTCTCTCTCTCTCTCTCTTTGCTTTGCTTAGGGCATGGGGCGGGAGCAG